GGTCCCCCCCCCCCCCCCCCCTCCCCTCTCCTCCAACACAGTACCGTGCCCCCCAACATTCCGATGGTTGTATGCGTCGTGACCGAGTACGTGGAGGTGTACCTTGTACCCCGAAGACTCAACAGTGCCTGATGAACAGTGCCTGATTGCTTAGCCACCCATAGACAGCGTTGCCAACTGCCGCGACCCCCCCTCCCCCCCAAACCCATCACAATGCCGTGCCCCACAACACCCGGTGTTGGAGTGCGTCTTGTCCGAGTACGAGGATGTGCTTTGTACGTTGTACCGCGAAGACTCAACAGAAGTGCCAACTGCTTAGCCACCTATTGACAACGCTGCCAACCTCACCCCCCCTCCCCCCTCAAATAAAAATCCATCGCAGTACCGTGCCCCACAACACCCGGTGGTGGAGTGTGTCTTGTCCGAGTACGACCTGGAGGTGTCGCCGATGAACGAGTGCATCGCCTTGTCCAAGAATGACGGCTACGGGGGGATAAACTGCGTCTTGGAGGCGTTGGAGACGTGCACCGAAAACGTGAGAGGTTCTACGTTTTGCGACGGTTGTGCCGGCTCATGGCCCAGCTTTGGACGGAAACTGGGCTGTATTGGGACGAACGTGTTTGTTTGTGTCTCCTTTCGTTTTTGATGCCATCGACAAACTGGAAGGGTGTGGCGATGCCGCAGGGACATGGTTTTGGTAGGAGGTGGATTATTCGCGGCTGTTGGTCGCGTCCGCACCATGACGTGACTAGGTTCCGTTCCGCAGTCCAAAGTGTTCCGTGGGCCATGACGACAACAGCAGCAGCAACGACAGCCACGATAGCTATGCATCAATGGTTGACTTGTGTTGACGCAGCGTATACGCGGCCATGACTAACGTCCTTGAAGGGCCTGATGATGGCCATGACATAGTTTCGGGGTGTCGCCTAGGTTGGTGTGATTGACTTTGCATTCACGGCGGCTCGAGTATATGCGGATGGGCTACCCCTACAGGGCCATCGTGTTTTGTCGAAAACCCAGACCCTTTCGAGCCAAAAACAAGGCCTTTTTCAGCCAAATCCCGACCCTTTCGAGCCGAAACCAGACCTTTTGTGGGCCGAAACAAGGCCCTTTCGAGCGAAACCAAGGCCCTCTACGCCAAACCCAGGCCCTTTCGAGCCGAAACCAGGCCTTTTCGAGCCGAAACCAGGCCCTTTCGAGCCAGGGTCGGCACAGCGGGGGTACGGCCGACGAGCCCCTTGCGTGTTTCTTGGTAGAAATAATCACTCAGTAGCACAACCTACGTAGTATGTGTTGAGAGGTACCTCTATTTTGCGGATCCCCCTCCCCGGCTCGTGCCCCGTCCCACACTCGCGCACGCAAGCATACATTGTAAGAGAAAATACATTTCGTTGTTGTGTGGTCGTGGTTCCCGTAGCTAAGCGTCCCTTTCCTCGCTTGCGTGATTTTTTTTCTCGTCATGTTTTGGCAGAGAGGCCTGACGAACGACCTGCGGGAAGCCGGTGTAGTGGCGTGGCACGGATGCAACTCCGCTACGGCGAAGTCTTACACCGCCCCTTCCCGGTGAGAGGATGTATGTTGGAGGTAGGCGTACAGTCGTGGCTTCGACATAAAAGGTTACCTCCTAAGAGGTGTCTCCGATATAAGAAGGTCGAAATCGGTTGTCACGGACTCGACCCTCTATAGTAGTATAGTTGAGTACCCTCTATAGTAGTATAGTTGAGTACTCTCTTAACCCGGTACAAGAGGGGGCTCCGATATAAGAGGGTCGAGAGCCTTTGTCACGCCAGCCTCCTATGTTGGAGCCGCGACTGTAGACACGACCGCAGAATTGTCTGTGACCGCAGAATGCAGTGCGCTTCGGTTGGACGGGCACGGAAATGTTCGGAGTTGCTGAGCAGAGACACCCCCACCACCACAACAGTAAAGACGATGACGACGGCAGTGACAAAAACATGAGAACCGAATTCCACCCCCCCGCGGTGTTGGACCGTTTCTCTTTGTCTTGGCCTTGTATGCGCCGCTTGCTTTTGACTCTCTCTCGTTTCGTTTTCTTTTTTTGAGCCATGTGATAGGAGGAGGCCACAAATACGCGTGTTGTTTGGTGTGTCGGCATACTCACCCCTTCGTAATCCCCAGCCAAACCAATGATAGATCAGTCCAGGCAAACTGTTTACTCTCTCTGTTATTTACCACACTACTCGTGATAAGTCTGCTCGGGGAGATATTCGTGGGGGCGGACCTCGTCTATGCTTGGTCTCACGCGCGGTATGTTCTTTAAACGGAGGCGGCAATACCGATAAGCAGGGGTCATGGGACATGTGCTGGAAATTCCAGGGTACCCTCCCCCCCCATGCCGTGAAAACCCGGCACATCGCTCCGTCCCGGCATCGGAGGGGTGCGTGGTCCATGGCTACGGCATGCGCTCGAGTGCACCTCCCTGGAAGTGTTGCGGATGTTGTTGTTGTTTCCTTGCTGTTTGTCTTGATGGCGAAAACCCCCGTGTCAAGTTCACTCCTCGTCATGACATGATGGCGCAGGCACGAGTTTCCGTGGCCTCAAGCGCTTGATTTGCACTGGGGTGCGACTTTTCTGCGCAAGTTTGTTGCGTTTTTTTTTTCGGTGCTGTCGATCCTGGGGGACGTCCTGGGTACCATTTGCAGACCTCCCCTATAGTAATGTCGGGAGGGGGTTATTTTATTTTTTTGGGGGTGCTGTTTGTCATTGTTGATTTTTTGTACCGAGTCGTTCCTTTCATGGACTGATTTTGTCTGTCTCCATCCGCCGTTTTTTCGCCTTTTTTTATCCGCTCTCGTTTTTTTTCGACCCTCCCCCCCTTTCCCTTGTTTTTTTCCATCCGCTTCCCCCTGCCCCCCCCCCCCTGTTCCCAGCTCCGGGGCCTCCGGGGCGGACATCCTGGAGGGTCTCACGGGAATACCACCGCCGGTCACGCATTCGCCACCGCCGGAATCAGGCTCCGAAACTGCTTCCTCGAACGGGTCAATGCCACCCGGCGAGAGCGACATCACCGCCAATGAACAAGGTAGACGAGATTATTCCTTCATGTTCTTTGTTATCGTATGCAGCAAAGAAGGACGGGTCAGATTTTGGACCTTTGAGATCCGCTGGATTTTTTTTTATGGGAGAACGGTTTCTCCTGCGCAAGGGAACACGGGCACAGAGACGCGTGCGGGAATGCCTCGATTGCTGTCAAGTTGGTTCTGAACTGATGTGTATGGTCCGAGATGGGGACCGAGTTTGGTCCTCTACAACCAAGTTTTTGCTAGTGTGGGTGCGATTTAACAGTTATATCAGTTTAGAATTCCGTGAGAACGTTCCATTCATTTTCATCGTGGACGGCTGAAAGCTCAGTGTTCCGTTTTTTCGGGCTCTCACAGAGCAGTATTTTCCGATTGTTCAGGCCCTCTCACAATCATCGTTTCGACTCTTTTCCCACTTCGATTCAATTTCGTTCCACGCACCTTCTCGGATTTTGGTTATCTCTCTCCGTGTCACTGTCTCCGTGTGTCGGTCTGTCTGCCTCTCCCTCGCTTTCTCTCTCTCTCTCTCTCTCTCTCTCTCTCTCTCTCTCTCATACCCAGCTCACTTTTAATTTCATGCTCACAATCTGGATTTTGATTCCACACACCGGACTCTTTTCAGATAGACTGGATGCTTCCGCTTCTTATCCGATCACACGTGGATGGGCTGTCGTTCTGTCCGTTCGCTCGCTGTCTGTCTGGAACTCACGCACTCCTTTGCGGCTCTTCCCGTTACACGAGGTCCATCGCTCTGTCGCTTCGCTCTTTGTCTGGATCTCACGCACTCCTTTGCGATCACACGAGATCTCCTCTATCTGTCTGTATCTCACAACCGCGTACGGACGCGTCAGGGATTTGCCCGCTTCTTCTGCCGGCGTTCTCCAATTCGCTGCTTTCTGACATCTGCGAGAAGATTCTCCGCCTGCCTGCGTTCTCCGATTCTCCGCTTTTCCGACATCGGCACCTTGCGCAGCTGTCTCGCTCTCTTCCTCGCACACGCGCTCGCGCCCCCTCCTCTCACTCCCCCGAGAACACCCTCTACTGCCTACCAGCACCCTCCGTCTATATAATAGTATATGTAGAACGTATACATTTTCTGTTTCGGCCAGGATCTCGCCATTCTTCAAGCGCCACATTTCCAGCGGGCCGCCCTCCGGACAGCATTCATTCCGGATTTTCGGCCGCTGACAGACGGCCTTTTTTTTTCTGTTCCTGATATCTTTCTCATGATCTTGCTCTCTCAGCTGTATAACACGCTGTGC